GTTTAGTGGTGATAAACTCCTTTAACTTTTGCTTCTATGGGAAACTCTCTCTCCTTGAATTCTGGATGAATCCTTGCCAGGTAGAGTATTATTGGTTATTTTTTTCTTTCAGTACTTTGAATATATGGCATCAGTCTCTATCTACCTGTAAAGATTCTGCTGAAAAATCAGTTGATAATCTTGTGCTGGTTCCTTTGTATGTAACTAGTTTTTTCCCCCCCCTGCTGCTTTAAGACTCTTTTATTTTAATTTTTGTTATTTTAAGTAAAATGTATTTTGGCATGAATGTCTTTCAGTTCATCTTGTTTGGGACTCTGTGATTCTTGCGCTTGGATGTCTGTCTCCTTCAATAATTTAGAAACATTTTCAGCCATTATTTCTTCAGATAGAGTTTCTGCCCCCTAATTCTCCTCCTGTAATCCCTATAATGCAAATGTTATTATGCTTCGTATTTTCTCAGAGGTCCCTTAAACTGTTTTCAATTTTTTAAAAGTTCATTATTCTTTTTTTGCCATTCCAATTAGGTGATTTCTACTACCCTGTCTTCTAGATTGCTAATCCATTCTTCTGCATCCTCTAATGTGCTGTTAAGTTACTCAAGTGTATTTTCATTTGTTATTGTATCCCGAAGTTCTGACTGCTTCTTTTTTATATTTTCTAACTCTTTGTTGAAGTTTACTGATTTCATCCATTCCTCTGAGTTTAATGAGGATTTTTATGACTATTTCTTTGAATTCTTTACCTAATAATTGTTTATTTTTGTTTCATCTAGTTCTTTTTATGAGGATTTTTCCTCGCTCTTTTATTACTTTTGTTTTATGAGGTTTTGCCATGTTGGCTCTGCATTTTGCCTCACTCTCTGCTTGTTTCTATGTATTGGGTATATCAGGTTTAGCTCTAGGTCTTGAAAGAGTGGTGTTGTGTAGATCACTGGTGTCCAGTGAATCCCAGTGGAACAACTTCCCCTGGTTATCAGAGCCAGGTGCTGTAGGGGTGCCTTCCTGTTGTGATTGGGTCGCAATTCCTGCAGGCATGCTGCATGGCTTGGTAGCTGCTGCAATGCCCTTGCAGACTGGTTGGTCCCCATCCCAACTGTCTGAGACCTGGTCACAACTACTGTAGGTGTGCTCATGGGCAGGATGGCCCCTCAGTATGGCTGGTTGTGAGGCCCAGCTGTGACCATTGTAGGTTTGCTGGTGTGTAAGGCTGGCCTCCAGGAAAGGGAGATGGTTTGGAGGGGTGCCAGCTGAGGTGGAGTGAGAGCCACTTTAAGGACTGAGCAGGGGAACTGGATTGGGCGGGGCTGGTACTTAGCATAAGGCTGGGGTGTGGCACACAATGTTAGTTATATATCTGGAGAATTACAGAAATGATCCCTACCAACAGTGGATCAGCTAGGTAGAAGGAGACTAAAAATATATGACACCCACTAGCACTTCTGTTCTTTGAGATAGTTCCTCCAGATCCTACCCTTCTGGCATATGCCCTAAAATTAATCAATTGATTTCCTTCTTATATGATCCAGGTGCTTTGCAAGTCCTCAAGCTGGGACATGGAGAAAGTTGAGTTTGTATACAAGCTCTTCACAAGGGGAGTTTTGATTTCCCACAGCCAACTGGTTCTCCTGATTTTAAACCCCACCAATTCTCAAAGCCAGACATTATGGGGACTTTTCTTCCCAGTGCAGGTCTTTTGGGCTGGTGAGCCTGATGTGGAACTTGAATCCCTCCCTCCTTGAATATTACTTCGTGGGGTAATATTCCTCCCGTGGGTTCTGGATAGCCCACATCTCTGCCCCTCTACCCATCTTGATGTGGCCTTTTCGATATATCCTTAACTATATGAATTTTGTTCTGCTAGTCTTTAGGTTATTATTGGAGACAGTTTTAGTTGTGGTTTTGGCATTTCTCTGGGAACAAGTAAACTCCTATTCTGCTATCTTTATCTGACTCCTGAAGATAATGCCAGACAATTTTCTAATGGAGTATCAGTTTATATTCCCAACACCAATGTTTGATGGTTCCAATTGTACTGTTTCTTCAACACTTAGTATATTTATATGTATATTATGGTATCTCTCAGTGGCACTCTTTGCGCTTACCAATGACTGTTGATGTTGTTCATTTACATATGCTCACGCTAATAAAGCAATGCTCAAAATTCTCCAAGCTAGGCTTCAGCAATATGTGAACCGTGAACTTCCAGATGTTCAAGCTGCTTTTAGAAAAAGCAGAGGAACCAGAGATCAAATTGCCAACATCCGCTGGATCATTGAAAAAGCAAGAGAGTTCCAGAAGAACATCTGCTTCTGCTTTATTGACTATGCCAAAGCCTGTGGCTGTGTGGGTCACAATAAAATGTGGAAAATTCTGAAAGAGATGGGAATACCAGACCACCTGACCTGCCTCTTGAGAAACCTGTATGCAGGTCAGGAAGCAACAGCTAGAACTGGACATGAAAAAACAGACTGGTTCCAAATAGGAAAAGGAGTATGTCAAGGCTGTATATTGTCACTCTGCTTACTTAACTTATATGCAGAGTACATCATGAGAAACGCTGGGCTGGAAGAAGCACAAGCTGGAATCAAGATTGCCAGGAGAAATATCAATAACCTCAGATATGCAGATGACACCACCCTTACGGCAGAAAGTGAAGACCAACTAAAGAGCCTCTTGACGAAAGTGAAAGAGGAGAGTGAAAAAGTTGGCTTAAAGCTCAACATTCAGAAAACTAAGATCAAAGCATCCGGTCCCATCACTTCATGGCAAATAGATGGGGAAACAGTGGAAACAGTGCCAGACTTTATTTTTTTGGACTCCAAAATCACTGCAGATGGTGATAGCAGCCATGAAATTAAAAGACGCTTACTGCTTGGAAGGAAAGTTATGACCAACCTAGACAGCATATTGAAAAGCAGAGACATTACTTTGCCAACAAAGGTCTGTCAGGTCAAGGCTATGGTTTTTCCAGTGGTCATGTATGGATGTGAGAGTTGGACTGTGAAGAAAGCTGAGCACCGAAGAATTGATGCCTTTGAACTGTGGTGTTGGAGAAGACTCTTGAGAGTCCCTTGGACTGCAAGGGGATCCAGGCAGTCCATCCTAAAGGGGATCAGTCCTGGATGTTCATTGGAAGGACTGATGCTAAAGCTGAAGCTTCAATACTTTGGCCACCTTATGTGAAGAGTTGACTCATTGGAAAAGACCCTGATGCTGGGAGGGATTGGGGGCAGGAGGAGAAGGGGACGACAGGGGATGAGATGGCTGGATGGCATCACCAACTCTATGGACATGAGTCTGAGTAAACTTCGGGAGTTGGTGATGGACAGGGAGGCCTGGCTTGCTGTGATTCATGGGGTCGCAAAGAGTCAGACACGACTGAGCGACTGAACTAACTGACTGGATATTCGTATGTTCATTTTTGTAAAGTCAGTGTTCAAGTCTTTTGCTCATTTTAAAATTGGATTTTTTGTCAATTTTATTAGTGATTTTCAATTCAAAATATTTCTCCTCTGTGTGACTTGCCTTTTGACTCATTTAATAATGTCTTTTGATGATTATGCCTTCACTGTCATGGTTATATTTGCTGTGTTTTTGTTCTGAAAGCTTTATTGCTTTATCTTTCACACGTAGATGTAGAAAAGTTGTAAACTAAAACCAACCTGTATGAAGTAAGATGGGAATCAAAGTTCATTATGTGCTTATGGAAATCCGTTTGAATCGGCATCATTAATTGAGATGAACATCATCTCTTCACTGCATTTTGTGTCACTTCTGTCATATTTGTGCATCTATTTCTAGACATTTTATTCCATTGTTGTCAAACTTTAGCATGCACAGAATTACTTGAGTGGCTCGTTAAAGCAAGAGTAATGGCTTCCAACCCCAAATCTTCTGGTTCAGTAGGTCAGGGATGGGGCCTGAAAAGTTGCATTTCTAAAAATCTGAGCTTATGCAGATAACCACACTTTAAGAAAAAATTATCCTTTCTGTTACATTGCTCTATTTCTTGGCCTTAAATTACCATAGTTTAAAAAACACATATATGGTAGTATATGTCTACCATATTTGTTCTTTCTCAATATTTCCTTGGAGATTCTTAACACTTTGCATTTCTGTGCACATTTTAAAATCACTTTACATTTCCACGTAAACTTTAGAATCAACTGATCAGATGATCATTCTGTACACACACACACACACACACACACACACACACACACACAGGATTTTGATTGGGATTGCATTAAATCTTTAGATTAGTTTAGGGAAAATTGTCATCTCCCCATGATTGCATTTTCCAAAGCAAGAACATGGTATATTTCTTCATTTATATAGGTCTTCTTTAATATTTCAATTTTTTTGGGTAATATTCCATGAAAATGTCTTATATAACTTCCATTAGATTTATTCCTGGGTATTTTTTTTAATTCAAGTAACACCATTTGAATGTTTTTATGCTATTCAAATGACATGTTTATATTTAACTTTTTGTTTGTGGCTTATATATAGATATACAACTGATTTTTCTATGTAGACTTTTTATTTAGCAGTAGAACAGAGACCAAAACCTTTAACTTTAAGAAAGAGTCCAGGAGATTTTGACAAATACCAACATTTGAAAACAACTGCAATAGAGATGTGTTATTAAATATACATTCTGTAGGCCAACAGAATCAATATCACTTGGGAGTTTATTAGAACTACACAGGGATCAAGTTAGGGTGAATAAGCAATTTGGGGAGGGAATGGTTTTCTGACACAGGAGACATTCAAGGGAAAGCTTTCTATTATGCTCAAAATATTTTACAGTATCATGTTCTGACTGGTAGAGGTCATAATGTTTAGAAACCAAAATTAAAATTATGATAAACATCTTTGATTCATACTGATCCCAGGCAACATGGAGAGATTTATATTCCTATATCTTAGTAATGAAGTTAGACAGATAGAGACATGCTTTTGGTCTTAGAAATATCTCTGATTCAATAAGATACTTACCTTATATAATTTTTTGAAGATACCAAACAAAATGTAGCGAAACACAAAGGTTTTCACTTTCCACAAGGTGGTCTCCAGAAGGAATATCAAGAGGAAGAAAAGAAGTCCTGTGACAGCCATTGCAAGTAAGTATCTTCCAACTGCATCATGTTCCAAGGTATATATACTACGCTCAGTTACTGATGGCAACAACAAATAAAATATGGACTTAAGAGTTAACTCAATGAACAAACTTTAAAAAGTCAACAAATAGGAAGTACTAAGGAATGGCTATCAAATAAGCTCAAAATTAATGTATTTAATTGTATGTTTAAATAACTTTGTATGTCATCCAAAATATTTTCAAAATCCATTACAGTCCAAAATCTATACAGTCCATGGAATTCTCCAGGCCAGAACAGTGGAGTAGGTAGCCTTTCCCTTCTCCAGGGAATCTTCCCAACACAGGGATTGAATCCAGGTCTCCTGCATTGCAGGCAGATTCTTTACTAGCTGAGCCCTCAAAATCAATTAATGGAGGCAAAACCTTTAATTCCATGAGCTTTGTTTTGCTATAGTTCTAGGCATCCATTCCCAACATAGTCAGAATCATTGGGTGAATGCCCACTCACACTAACTAGAGTACTGGGTAGTAGCAGAGACTCTCCTTGCCCTCAAATATTGTTTTCTCTGAAAATACTTTAGATAGAGGTTTTGAAAATTGGAGCAGGAGCAGAAGAATCACCTGGTAGTGTGCTACGTATACACTTTAACCTATAAGAGCTAAAGGTTAAAGTTTAGAAGTTAGTTGTAACAACTTTTAAACTTAAGTTGTAAATGCCTAAGAGCTGGTACTTTCCCAATTACTTATGAGAAAACTTTATAATTACAAGGTTTTGAATTCGTGAAAGCAGTAGATTCATAAAAGCGGTAAAGATCAAATTTCTTTTTTACTTTTAAAAAACTTCATATTAAAATATGATATACACACATGGAAATTCACCTAAGTATAGGACTCATTGAATTTTTAGAAACTGAAAATATCTATATAACGAGCAATATTTTTCACCCAGTTTTAAACTTCAACTGCATCATATTATTTCTTTTCTCTTTTACTTTCTTCCTTTCTTTCACTCTTTCCTTCTAATTTATAATTGTGCATGCGTGCATGTCTGCTAAGTCATTTCAATCATGCCTGACTCTTTGTGATCGTGTGGAGTGTAGCCTGCCATGCTCCTCTGTCCATGAAGATTCTCCAGGCAAGAATACTGGAGTGGGTTGCCATGTCCTCACCCAGGAGATTTTCCTGACCCAGGGATCAAACCTGAACCTCTTATGCCTCATGCATTGGCAGGTGGGTTCTCTACCATTAGAGCCACATGGGAAGCCCATTTATCACTGGACGTACTTTTTGTAGTTATCACTCAAGACATTACATTATGCATACATAACTTACAGAATCATGATGTTCTTCTTTTTACCAGTCTGAGTGAAGTGTAAAAACCTTTTCCATGATTTATATCTCTTTAACACCCCCATTTATTACTGTCTTAAATATCCCCACTATATACACTGAGAACATTATCATACACTGTTACCACTTTTGCTTTAACCACCAAATCTGAGAAAACTCAAGAGGAGAAAGTATATAGTGTCCACCCATATTTTTATTCTTTTCATTTTTTTTTTGATGCTTCAAAATTCTTTCTTCAATCATTTATGTTTACAGAATCTCTAGAGCCATTCTTTCAGGACTTCTAGAGGTGACAAATTTATGTAGATATTCTTCATCTGAAAATGTCTTGATTTCCCCTTCATTCTTGAAAGTTATTTCCTATCTATATGAAGTTTTGAGTAGACAGCTTTTTTATTTACTTGAAGATAACGTGCTGCTTCTTTTGGTGTTTATGCTGTCTGGTGAGACATCTATAAATTAGAGGAATTGTTTTGCCTTTATGGATAAGGTATCATTTTTTTTCTGTAGCTACTTTTCTTTAGTTTTCAAAGTTTAATTATGATATCTCTTGGCATGAATTTCTTCAGTCTTTTTAGAATTGAGATATAATTAATATGTAACATTAGTTTCAGGTATATAACATAATAATTTGATATTTGTATATGTTGAGAAATGATCACCACAATACGTCTTATTAATATCCATCACCACACATACTTGTGCTTTTTTGTGTGTGATGAGAACTTTTAATATATACTCTCTTAGCAACTTTCAATTATACAATTCAGTATAAGTATCTATAGTTACCTTTCTGTACTTTACATCACCATGAGTTACTTATTTTATAACTGGAAGTTTGTACCTTTTAAATCCCTTCTCTTATTTTGCCCAACCTCACATCCCCCGCCTCCTGTAACCATCAGTTTGTTATCCATGAGTTTCTTTTAAAGATTCCATTTGTAAGTGAAATAATATGATACTCATCTTTCTTTCTTTGACTTATTTCACTAGGCATAATGCTCTAAAGGTATATCTGTAATGTCTCAAATGGCAAGATTTCCTCCTCATTTATGGATAAATAATATTCCATTACATATACACCCCGTTTTCTTTATCCATTCATCCATGGCTATCATTTCTCATGAGAAAAAATGTGCTACGCATATGAGTAGTGAATCTTAGTTCTAACTCGTAAAGTTGTATAACAGAATAAGTTATTCAATTTTGTATAAGCTTTAGTTCAAAGAGAGAATAGCACAAAACTTGAATAACTGTGAAGATTCAAAATAATGTAGCTATTCACATTCTAAAATTAATTGACTAGTTTTAACTCTGATGAGCCTTGGGTAGCCCAAGATACTTACCTGCTTTACTACAATTCATTAAGGGAGAAACCTTTTCCGGTGAAGCACATGCAAATTTTGTGTACTCGATATCATAATACCGACTGATGCTCATCCCAAAATTATGTATAGGTAACACCATCATTGCATTAAGCAGGATGCTTTTAGAAGCAGCATTTTCACCTGTGTTTAAAAAGATAATAACATTAGCATGGTTTATATGAAATGAACTGTCCCAGGAAAGTAAAATCTCCCTAAGTTGATCAAACTAAACTGAGAAAATTACAAAGCCATAATATTATCCTTGTAAATCTCTTGCCGCTAAGTATACTGTCTCTGATGTCTTGTAGTGTAGTTTGTGTTGATAATTACAAAGCTGGAAAATCCTTTTGGGAAAGTTGACGTCCATATTATCTCTCTTCCTGTCACTTGATGTGAACAGTAAACTCATACTGATTATTTCTCATATTTCTTATCCTATGTGATCAATAAAAATAGTCATAATGAGAAATTAGCCTCATACTCAACAGTGAGAAAGAGATAAAGGAACATTTTAAAAGTTGAAAGAAATATTTTTTTTTTTTATCAACAGACATATGACAATCTCCAAGAATAAGCAATAGGCATTCACCAGTCAATACACAGCTCAGTTACAAATATGCATCCCAGTATTTGGAAAACTCTCTTAATGAAGGAAGAAATTTTAGGGAAAAAGAAAAAATATGAGGCTGAACAAGGAGATGAGTCAATAAGCCAAAAAATGTATAATACGTGAACAAAGGCTTGGAAGATAACTGTTTAGGTATAACCCACAAAATAAAATTGGTTCCTTGTGCAGTATTGCCATGAGTCAGAAATTTTATTTATTTATTTTTTTTGAAAGAAATATTTTTAAAGAACTAAACTTAAAGCTAACTGTGTGTGCATGCTTAGTTGCTCAGTCATGTCCAACTCTTTGTGATCCTGTGGACTGGAGCCCAGCAGGCTCCTCTGTCCATGGAATTCTCCAGGCAAGAATACTGGTTGTTGCTAAGTCACTTCAATTGTGGCCGACTCTGTGTGACCCCATAGACAGCAGCCCACCAGGCTCCCCCGTCCCTGGGATTCTCCAGGCAAGAACACTGGCGTGGGTAGCAATTCTCTTCTCCAGGGGATCTTTCCAACTCAGGGATCAAACCCAGATCTCCTGCATTGCAGACAGATTCCTTAACATCTGAGCCACAAGGGAAGCCCTAAAACTGAGGTTTCTCTAAATATTAAATTAATATGTATAATGTGCTGTGTGCTAAGTGACCACTCTGCAACCCCATGGACTGCAGCCCACCAGGCTCCTCTGTCCATGGGGATTCTCCAGGCAAGAATACTGAAGTGGGTAGGCGTGCTTTTCTCCAGGGTATCTTCCCAATCCAGGGATTGAACCCAGATCTCCTGCAATTGCAGGCAGATTCTTTTTTTTTGTCTTTATTGACTGAGCCAGCAGGGAAGCCCAAGAATACTGGAGTGGGTAGCCTATCCTTCTCCAAGGGATCTTCCTGCCCAGGAGTCAAACCAGGGTCTCCTGCATTGCAGGCGGATTCTTTACCAGCTGAGCTACCAGGGAAGCCCATATATATAATAGTTTATGAACATACACGAGTAAATATAAAAGTAGTTATAGGTTAAGATATTAGACTTCAAGATTGAGTTAAGATAATTGGGAATAATATGTCTGAGCAAAAAATATTTGTGAGATACTGACAAAAGAGAGGTGATAAGCAAAGATGATAGAGGATAAATGAGGTTCTTAGGATGTAAAATTTCCAAGTGGTTAAGTCACACCAAGCATGTTCAAAGAGGATAAAAGTTAGTTTAGACCCACATAATATGGTGGCCAGAAATAATAATTCTGGACATTGATTGGCCACTTTAGTATTGAAAAAAGGGAAAGTGTTAGTCGTTCAGTCGTGTCTGACTCTCTGCAACCCCATGGAATGTAGCCTGCCAGGCTCCTCTGTCCATGAAATTCTCCAAGCAAGAAAGCATGCTAAAAGTAGTGTCATTTTATCTCCTTGCTTACATTTACTCCTTATAATTTTTAATGTGATTTTAAACAGGATACTCTGAAAACTATAAAACATTGATAAAGGGAATCAAAAATTATTTAAAGAAATGAAAAGACATCCCCTGCTCTAGGATTAGAATAATTAATATTATTAATACAGTTATACTACCCAAAGCAATCTACAGATTTAGTGCAATCCCTATCAAATGTCAGTTTTCACAAAACTAGAACAAATAATTCTAAAATTCATATGGAACCACTAAAGATCTCAAGTTGCCTAACCAATTTTGAGATAAAAGAATAAATCTGGAGATATAACCCTCCCAGACTTCAGACTATACCACAAAATTACACTAATCAAAACAGTGTGGTACTGGCACAAAAACAGGCAAGAAGCCCAGAAATAAGCCCATGCACATAGAGTCAATTAATCTGCAAAAAAGGAGGCAAAAATGAATAAAAGAGAAAAGATAGTTTCTTCAACAAGTGCTGCTGAGAAAACTGGACAACCACAAATTAAAGTGAGATTAAAACATTCCCTCACACAATATACAAAAATCAAACCCAAAATGGTTTAAAGACCTAAATGCAAGATCTGAAACCATAAAACTCTTAGAAGAGAACATGGGCTGAATATTATAACATGAACCACGGTGGTACTTTCTTGGATCAGACTCCTGAGGCAAAAGAAATAAAAAAAAATAAACAAATAAGATCTAGTTAGACTTAAAATATTTTGCACAGAAAAGGAAACCATCAACAAAGTGAAAATACAACCTATGGAATGGGAGAAAATATTTACAAATGATGTGACAGACAAGGGGTTAATATCCAAAATATAAAAAGCAGCTCATTAAACTCAGTATCCCCCCAAACAAGCAACTCAATTAAAAAAAAAATGGGCAGAGATCTGAATAGACTTTTCTCCAAAGAAGACATACAGATGGTAACAGACACTTGAAAAGATGCTCAACATTGCTAATAACTAGAGAAATTCAAACCTAAACAACAATGAGATGTCACCTCACATGGGTCAGAATGACTGTCATCGAGGTCTATAACAAATGATGGTGATGATATGGAAGAAGGGAACCCTTCTACCCTGTTGGAGGGAATGTAAATTGGTGCAGTCACTGTGGAAAACAGTGTAGAAGTTTCTCAAGAAACTTCAAATGAAACTATTGCATGATCCAGTAATTCCTGTCTCTGGTATATATCCAGAAAAAAAAGAAAACACTAATTCAAAAAGATGCATGCACCCCAACATTCAAGACAACAGTAGTTATAATAACCAAGATATAGAGGCAATCCAAACACCCATCAACAGAGGAATTGTTATATATCTCAGTCATAAAAGGAATAGAATTCTGCCATTTGCAGTAACGTGAATGGACCTTGATAATATTATGATAGTGAAATGTCACAGAAAAACAAATACTACAGTATATATTTCATATGTGGAATCTGAAAAATAACACAAATTAATGTATATGCAAAAGAGAAACAGATTCATGGATACAGAAAACAAACGTAGTTACCGAAGTGCAGGAGGAAAAGAGGAGAGACAAACGAGCTTTATGGTTTTAACAAATACCAGCTACTCCATACATAAGAGACAAGCAACAGGAACATACTCTAGAGCGCAGAGAATTATACCCATAATCTTCTAATAACCTGTAATGGAGTATGATCTGCAAAAATACTGAATCACTGTTGTGAATACTGAATACATGCTGTTCACCTGTAACCAACATAATATTGCAAATCACTTATTCTTCAATGAAAATATAAGTGGCTAATGCAGTAGATTAAAGTATTAGTCTCGCTCTGTATAGTACATAAATAGCCCCTCATCTTTAAGGAGCAGAGGAAAATCTTCCCATATAAAGAAGAGTAGTATGATTCCTCACCCCATTAATTGTTGAAAGATACCATTTGAGGGAGGTGAGAAAAGAAATGAAAACTGAGAAAAATATGCTGTAATGGATAATGTTTTAAAATGTTTATCTTCCAATTCAGCATGTGTACTAATCAGCAAGAGTAGAATATCAACCAACCAGATTGGGCACAAATGATAAATAATCACTGTAGCTATCCTGTGCATTATGACTGAACAGACCTTTTCTAGGATTTAGAGAAAAGCAGAATTGCTGTCTGCAGTTTTGGTTTTCCTCTTTATACATTCTCAATGTCACTAATAACAATACCTTGACTTTTATGTCATGTCTGAGTAATGACAATTTAATTTCTTTCTTTCTACTTTTAAAAAAAATTTTTAATTTTTATCTATTACTAATTACTATCTATTTATATTACTAATTTCTATCTATTACTAATTAAGACATTAGATGTCATGTTGATTTTTAGGGATCATTTTCAATGATTTAGCATTGAGTATGATATTCATTGTTTTTTGTAAATGCCTTTTATGAGGTTATGGAAATATCTACTTTGCTATTAAGAAAAGTTATAGTGAATCATTGTTGGATATTTTAATGATATTTTTGCATATATCTATATTTTATTCATTAATTTATTAATGTTGTGAATTATATTAATATACTTTCTGAGTCTATCATTTAATGAGCATATCATTTGCATTGTTTTTGTTGTTGTTCATATGCTCAGTTGCAGAACACCAGGCTTCTCTGTCCTTCCCAGAGTTTGCTCAAACTCATTTCCACTGAATCAGTGATGCCATCCAACCGTCTCATCCTCTCTCATCCCCTTCTCCTGCCTTCAATCTTCCCAGGCATCAGGGTCTTTTCCAGTGAGTCGGGTCTTCAGATCAGATAGCCAAAGTATTGGAGCTTCAGTATCAGGTCTTCCAATGAATACTCAAGGGTGATATTCCTTAGGATTGACTGGTTTAATCTCCTTGCTGTCCTTACTAGGAAATATCTAGTTTGGTCAAAGTAAGTTATCTTTTCTATAGCTTACTGAATTCAGTTTCCAGCATTTTGTTCAAAATATTGCACCTGTATTTATGAGTAATTTTATCTTATAATGTTCCTTTCTTCTATTCTTTTCCATTTATGTTGTCAAACTTATACTTTTTCATATAATGGGTAGAAAAGCTGTTTTCCCCCTCTTTATTCTCTAGAAGGGTCTGTATTAAATTAGAATTCCATTTTTGAATGTT